ATTTCCGTGAAATGTATTCAGTTCTGTATTATACAGGCAAAGGGAATGCACAAGTATGCTACAAAAAATCATACTAAGAATTATTTCCTCAATAATAAATACAGTTGTTTATAATTACTTAACGCATTATCCAATCGTTCACGTATTTTTTTCTACTAAATGGTCGAACCGTTAAATCTTCCTAAGTCAATTCTCTTGATTTTCTTGCCGTACCATGTGTTCAGTTGTTTATTATACAGACAAATGGATCTATAATGTACAATTCAATTTTTTTTCTCAATAGTGAATACAGTTTTGTATTTTATTTGTACGATTTACTAAATGATTTGTCCGTCATTTTACGCATGTTTAAAACGTGAAAAATCTTCCGAAGTTAAAATTTTCCAAAACCCGCTTTTAAGATAATTTACTTGCTTATTATGCAAACAAACGGGTCTGTAATATTCAATGATGCTACAAAAAACAAACAAATATTAGAAAAGAATCAATTTTAAAAAAAATAATAAATACAGTTATGCATGATCAAATAATTGTTTTTGTAGAATGAATGAAGTTGTGTTTTATACAAACGGATGTATAATATAGAAATATGCTGCCAAAACATAACCATTAAAAAACTAAATCTTAAATTTAATTGTACTTATATTAAATAAATCAAATCTTTATCACAATATTGAATACAGTCGTGTATTTTGTTTATGATTCTTAAACGATTTATAAATTACTGAGCATAGTTTCAAAAGTTAAAAACTAATTCAAAGTTCATGTATGATATTATTATGCAGTAATTAGAAAAACTAAAAAAATGCTATGTTTACTTGAACAACAATTTTGTCAAGCATATTAAAAGTTTTTTAAATATTAAATTTACCCTTTTTGTACGAATTCATTTATTTATTATGTACACATGATATAAATTGTTAAATATGTTAAATCTACTATTTTTCTTTGGTAAAATAAACCAATTCTGTACGATTTAAATTGAATGATTAGGTAATAAAATGTTTCAAAGGTTAAATAAGTTTTAGATATGTATTGTTTTTATACAGACAAGACGTATCTATAAGTTTATTAAATAGCAGTTATTGAAAATTTTGAGGAACTTTTTTTTAAAACAATGAATAGTTACGTATGTTTATATGCTTTCAAACTTCAAAATCTTCAATAGGTAAGCCTACTTTTCTTTTTTTAATGGATACAGTTATGTTTGAACGGGTTTAATCGGCGTTTTTTTAATCGTTATACATAGTTTCAAATGTCTGAATGTTCAAAACTAATTTTTTTGTGTGTAATTTATCACAAACTTTTCAAATGTTAAACTTATTATGATGAATAAAGCTATGTTTTTTTAGACAACTGGATCTGGATGTCAATAACTCTATTGTTTTCAGAATAACGAGTAGAATTTTGTTTAAAATATTTATTTAAAAAAAGTCAAGGTAAAAAAGAAGAAAGAAAGAGGCAGCGTTATAAAAATTTAACTTTTAACAACCAGGGAAATACATATTCGACTTAGTATCAAGAGTTAATCTATTCTACGGCAATTACACATTTTATTTTATTATTTTATATGCATGCATATTTATATATTCATTTGTCTTTTATACGTTTAACTCACCGCAAAAGTTCCGAAAAAATTTTGCTCGTTTTTTTAAGAATAAATAGAGACAACACTTCAGACGGTCAATTTATCATAGCACCATAACTCGTCTTTCTAATATACTCTATATATTATTATACGTCCATAATGTAAAAGGACACATGTAATAATGTAATATACCTGTCAAATAGACAGCCCTTAAAAAAAGTATCTTTTTCTTTATAATAAATATAGTTATGTTCAATTAATTTTACATGTTTACTATTTTCCAAAGTAGAAACGATCATTTTTTACTTTTTTAAATTCAATTGTGTATATTATACAGACATACGGATCTATACGGACAAAATATGCTTACAAATATAAGCAAAAAATGTATCCTTTTTTTAGTAATAAATACAGTTATATTGAATACTTATTCGTTAAAATCATCCGAAGTCAAACATGTTTTTGTAAGATGAGTTCTGCCGTGTCATAATGTCCACGTATGTTGCTAAAAACATAGTACTTAAGAAGTAACCTTTCTTTAAATCAAGTACAGTTTTATGTATGATTACTTATATTTATTATTGGATAGGTAAAATCTTCCAAAGTACAATCCATTTTTTGTAAGATCAATTCATTTGTGAATTATACAGACAAACGGATCTGTAATGTACAAATATGCTGCTAAATAGATAGTCTTTAAAAAAAAGTCATTTTCTTTATAAAAATACAGTTTCGTATGAGTATTTAATACATGATAAAATAGGTAAAATCTTCTAAAGCCGGTTTGTTCTGGCATTTTTGTAGGAGTCAGTTGTGTATTGTACAGACAAACGGATTTGTCATAACCAAATATACTGTCAAAAATACATCTCTTAAGAAAGAATATATTTTTTGAAAAAATCGATGATTATTTATTGCATGATTGAATCGTTAAACCGTTCAAAGTCAAAACTATTTTTTGTAAGATGAATTCTGTTGTGCCTTATACATAAAAACGGATCTATAACATCCAAATATGCTACAAAAAAAAACATATCCCTTAAAAAAGTATCAATTTCTCAAAAAAAAAAGTACGGTCAACTTAATACATGATTGAATAGTTAAAATCTTTCAAATTCAACTATATTTTAAGAGATAAATTTAACTGTGTATTATACACGCAAATGGAACGAAACACAACCCTTAAAAACAATCCCTTCCTTAATAATAAATAATGTTATTTATGATTATTTAAAGAAGTCTGTCTACCAAATAAGTAATAATATATAGATTACTTAATATATGATAGAATCCCTATAATTTCAAAAACTTCAAACCCTTGGCAGTGTATGTAGTATGCTTTTTTTTAAAACGTTATGATATAAAAAAAGAAAAATATTCAAACAGACAAAAAAAGACATTTATAATTATTATTATTATGTTGATACAGACAATTTAATAATATTGAAAGAGAAAACAATAGTGCCTGATCTCAATTTTTTTGCTCAGAAATATAGTTTAGTATGATTAAGTAGGTAAAACCTTACAGTCAAGACCTTTTTTAAGCATCTCGTTCCTAATAATAAACACAGTTTTGTATGATTATTTATGGTTTAATCCATAAAATCGTCCAAAGTCAAGTCTCTCTTTTTTATAAAATGAATACTGTTGGGTCTGTAATGTCCATAGCCCTTAAAAAAGAAGCCTTTTCTCAATAATAAATGAATTTATGTACGATTACATAATGCATGATTGAAGAGGTAAAATCTTACCAATTCAACTACTTTTTTTTGTAAAATAAATTCGGTTTTGTATTATACAGTCAGACGGATCTATAATATCTAAATATGCGGCCAAAACACTTTACAAAGTAACCCTTTCTTTTAAATAATAAGTACAGTTATATATGATTACTTAATACATGTTCAAATATGCTGTCTAAAATATAATCTTAAAAAAAAAAGATTTTTTTATACAATGAAAACAGTCAAGTATGAGTACTTAATACATGATTAAATTATTAAAATTTTCCGGTTTTTTTCTCTCAAAATAAATTCATTTGTGTAAACGTACAAATAAAGACTTTTAATATTATGTCTGTTTTTATGTTTGAGAAAAAGAATGTTTTCGATAAATAAAAATTTTCTTTTTTTTTGCACAGAAATTAATACAGTTATTACTTAATAATATAACTGGTTGAATAGATGAAATCTTCCAATGACAAATCCCTTTGTTTCTTCTGTTTTTGTAAAATGAATTCAATTGTGTGTTTTACCGTCAAACTGATCTATAATATCCAAATATACTGCCAAAAGATAGCGCTTAAAAACAACACTTTCTTTTAATAATAAGTAAAGTTATGTTAGATGACACATGGTTGAACCGTTGAAATATTTCAGTCTTCTTTTTTTCCGTAAGATGTATTCAGTTGTGTATTATACAGGCAAACTACATCTAAAATGTCCAAATATACTACAGAAAAAATCCCTTAAAAAGAATTATTTTCTTTATAATATAATACAGTTGTTTACGATTACTTCATACNGTATGGGAAATTATTTTGATTAAAGAACATTGCTTTAAAGTAACTAGTTTCTTTTTTTTTGTTTAATACCAAAATCCTGCATTATTTTCCGGACAACCCAATAATTCAGATATGTAGTTTACAAACATGGAACGTAGTCGTAGTCCTTATGAATGATACTTTTTTTAGATAATTAGTAAAATTAAGTAATTCCTATCATACAGGAGGGCTTGATGTACCCGTTGGGTGCCTCGGGCGAGAAATAATAAGTGTAGTTATATATGATTACTTGAAAGTTCCATTTAGTTAGTTATATAGTTAGAATCGTCCAAAGTCAAATCTTTTTACAAGATGAATTCAGTGTTTCATACAGACAAACGGATCTATAATGTACAAATATGCCGCGAAAAAATAACTTATAAGAAATTATTTTTTTAATAATTCAATCATTATTTAACTTTTGTTTGTACACAAACTTACTACCGTACTACCTCATACCTATGTCTCTCAATTTTGAAAACCTTTACACGGTTATTTTATTTTTCACGCTTTTCAGTAGATGATCTAAGGATTGCGAGATGATTCAGATAATAATTATAAGTCGTTGATTGAGTATTTTATTAATGGGCGTTTGTTTTAAAGCTTAAATCGTAGATTTTTGATGGTGGAGTGCGTCGCGTCATAAATGGGCGGGGTGTACTCAAAAAAGGAAATTAAGAAAAGAAAAAAAAAAGGAAAGACGAGTTGAAAGCAAATAAATATTACTCAAGTCTCTCAGTCAATTCCGGGTCCCCAGAGAATGCAAAATATCCCGGTAAATCTGAGAAATGTCGAAAAACCGGGTGTCAAAGTCAAAACTTCAATGAAATTGGAAATATATCAGGTATAAAATTTAAGTTATTCACTTACTGTGCGCTTGATCCCCCATGTCGTGAAGTTCGGGCTTAACGGGGGAAATTGTGAGCGCGCGATGGTTCACGACCAGCGAAGGCACTACACGATGATGCATTGCCACACGACAGACACACACTGCCACTGGCCGGCCTGCGACTCGTCCAAGACTCGCACCGCACCCTCCGCCCGGGCCCCTCGCCCATCCCCCCTCCGACCACCCTCGACGGCTTCACCACCACCATTACATTATCCCCTCCACGGCGCCCCCTCTGCCGTTATTTACATATCCCCCCGCCTCCGCCCCCCGCCTATCCGCCTCCGCTGCTGCCACCGCCCCCGCTCCATCACGCAAAAGTGGCTATCACGCAGTCCCCGCACTCACTCGCACGTACGCGCTCATCCTTTCACGCACTCTTTCTTGATTTTTTTTTGTTACCTTTTACATCCCCCACAAAATACATTTTCAGCGTAGATTTACACTTGAATAGACATACACTGATATTGACTCTTAAATATTAACGCTAAATCAATTCTTGATTTTAATAATTATTCATAATTTTTTTACAAAGCTTTTTCATTTCTAGTTTCAATCGTCAATAGAAAAAAAAACGATATACAGCTCTTTTCCAAGAAATTAACCCTTTTTAATTTTAAAATTACCCCCTTCATTTAAAATAATAATGTAATAATAAGTAATAAGGTAATAATAATATTAATACTCTAAAAAACCTTCCTTAATGTAACTTAAAAATTATCTATATTATTATCTGTCGTGTAACTTAAACAAGCAACCTACGATATATAACTATTTCCAGAGAATTTAACCCTTTTCAATTTGAAATTAACCCTTTCTTTAAAGTAATAACATAATAATAAGTAATAAAGTAATAATAATATTAATACTCCAAAAAACCTTTCTTAAGGTAACTTGAAAATTATGAAAAATTTACAAATTTAAAAATTTTATGAAAAATAATTAAGATTAAAAAATTAGTGAAAATACACCAAGAAATTAGATTTCTAAATAAAAAAATTAGAATGGGATTGTCGCTGATTTCATCGAGGAAAGGCAACGCGTGATGTTCCAAAATTCACTGAGCTACTTTGAAAAGGTTGGCTCCTGGAAAAATTACAGGTTTCGTACCTTTCATTTCGCCTTCTCCACACTTTTCAAGCCAATCTGGAGATCTTAGATCTCTACACTACACAATCTAATAATCTACACTCATCTATAAAAAATTACAACCTTCAGACTTGGTAAAATTTTCCAAATAAAAGTAGATCCTTGAAAGTCATATTTGACAATGCTACTTCGGCTAATTTTTTTTTTTTTTTTGTGCAAGTTATTCGAAGTTGCAGAAGTAAAAAATTTAATTTTGAGAAAAGACCTGACTGTAATCGAAAGAGATATTTTGACTGCTCTGCAAAATGAATTGAATGTTAGAACCGATACTGGAGAAAAAAATTTTAATGGTCACCCGAAAATCAAAAAACGGACGGAGTGCCTAATTTCATCTTACAACCAGAACGTCAGAGGATTGAGAACTAACTGTAACGACTAATAATGGCAACTAATAATGATGTTTACGATGTTTTTGCTCTAACTGAAATTTGGCTGTCAGAAGATATTGATTCAAGAGAATTAGGTTTTAACAATTACATGATGTATAGTTGTGATCGATCTCATCATAATAGTGATAAATCAAAATGTGCTGGTGTTTTATTGGCACAACAAATCAAGTAGTCATGTTCCTGGCGAACCTGTTTACTTAAGTTACTGATTAATCTATTGAACATTTATTTGTTTATCTCAATTTGAGTTTTTACAAAAATACTTTTATTTTGTTGTTATATTCCGCCTCCTAGTGTTGTTTATGAGAAACATTTTAACCAAATTGAACTGAAATTTTATGGATAATAATATTTCCAATGCTATCATTTTGGAGATGACATAAAAAAGTAATTATAATATTACTTTAATCTGGTGAAATTATGGATCAATTAGGAAAGAAAAACGTTCCCTTTACACATATAACCAGCTTATTGAACTTAAAAATTTTCTCAATGCTAAGCAATTAATTTAATATCTAATAACAATGAACAAATTTAAGATTTGGTTTTAGGTAATATTGATGCACAATCTGTGCATAAGTTCACTGTTCCACCATATTAAAATTATATTAGACCTGTTAATTTGCTAAATTTTAAGGGCACAAATTTCTCAAAATTTAAAGAAACTATTTCTCTAGTCGATTAGAATGTGTTGTTTGAAGGGAAAAAATGTTGATGACTGTGTGCAAATATTGTTATTTCTTATTTATTTAGAAATCGTGAGATGCGGTCTGGTGTGATGTAGGTTGCAGAAAAACATTTTCTTTATCGTGCCAACGTTTCGATCTTTATTGAGATCATCTTCAGNACGATAAAGAAAATGTTTTTCTGAAACCTACATCACACCAGACCGCATCTCACGATTTCTAAATAAATATCGATTAACGGTCACTAATCACCACACATTGTTATTTCTAATAAGTCATATCCACAATGGTTCATTGCTGAGTTAATATTACTAAAAAACAAAAAAAAATGTTGATGGCTATAATGAGATCTCCAGATTGCGAGCTGAGTGCAAAAATACTATAAAAAATGATCCAACCAAATTTTGGTTTTATAAAAGAAATACAATTTGAAATCTTCACCTGCCATTCCTAGCAATGTTCGACATTTAAATAAAACTAGAACTTCTGAAAGTTCTGCAGTTGATCTATTTTTTTTTTTTTTTTAAACCTCGAGTAGTTTATTTTTGCACGATCTAAGTCTTTCCTTAATACAATTATCCTTGTCTAATGTCGTTAAAAAATTAAATCTTTGAAACCAATTATGTAGAACACAAGAAAATCCTTCTCTTCTTCTAAAGAATACTGAGACATTGGTTTTCCCTTTACATTTTATTTTTAACAAATCTTTGAATTCCGGTATTTTTCCAGACAATGGAAACTTAGTTACATTTAACCACTTCTAAAATCTGGCTGCTCGTATTAAGTTACTAATTATCGTCCTTCATTGCCATCCCTGTAATAAATTTATCATACCTGAACAACATAGTTTTCAGCCTAACAAACCAACCATCTCAAATCTCCTGCTGTTTGAAAATTTTGTACTAAATGGTTTTTCCGACAATAACAAGCTAATGTAATTTACAGGGCATCAGTAAGGAATTTTATCGTGTCAATTTTAATTTGCTTTTATTGAAATTAAATGTTCTGGACTTACAACGACCCATATTGCTGTGGTTTTATAGTTATTTGCATTGTAGACAACTTAAGCAAAAATTAGTAATTCTTTGTATAAATTTATTGACGCAAATCTTGAGTGCCCCAGGTTCAGGGTTAGGGTTATTATTTCTGATCTTTATTAATGACGTTGCTGAATTTCTCCCTCGGAATATAAACTTCTTGCTCTTTACTGACGATGTCAAGCTGTACCATGTAATTAATAATGAAAATGACCCAAAAATACTTCAAACCGCATTTTCTAATTTTATTGATTGGTGCTCGAAAAATGTACTTAAACTTAAATTTGATAAATGCTTTGCGTTGTCATTTTTTAGATGTATTAAAAAAGTTAATTCATCCTATTTTAGTGACAAATTGCAACTACAAACTGTGACTTGATTTAAAGGTCTTGGTGTAACATTTACTCATGCCATTGAATTTTCCCAGCGTGTAACCAATATTACTAATGAGGCTAATAAATTGTTACGATTTGTGATTCGCAATATTCAACACTAGAAACATATTTACAATAAAAAATTTATTTTGCTCCATAATGGGTAGTCGTTATGAGTATGCTCGTCCTATCTGGTCACCCTATGTGGTAGTATATTTGTGTACATGCACAAAGTATATTTGTGTCTAACTTAAAAGAGCATAAACTAAATTTTTGTATATTGTACATGTATAAATAAAATAAATATAAATAACATATACAGGGTGAATTGCTACTCGTGCTACAAACTTCTCCAGTAGATTCTTCACCCTAAAATGAACAAAAAAGTTCATATTGTCCATGGTCCGATTCTCAACCATTTCAGAGTAATTTCGCTTTTTATCGATTTTGAAAGATATCACGTCCTGGCGTCGGAAAATCGTGATATCTTTTAATCTAAACATTTCTCT